CCACCCCCCCCTCCCCCCCCCCCCCCCCCACTTGACAGCCCACTGTACCTATCCTCCCCAAAAAAACATCGGTGAACGACACTGCGGCAGCTACAACCAGTGTACGACGAGTACGCGGTTATTGCAGCTGACAATGATGATGATGATGAATCCCCACCCCACGCCACACCACATTTTCATGAGATGTGCGCTGCTGATGATTTCCAATAATAATGAAACAGCTGTATGCCGCTCATTGGCTTCACAGCATAGGTTGACTTCACGTAAAATGTGAAACTGTGATTGTTGTTGAAGCAGGTTCAGAAATGTCGCAATATGTTGAAATTTTACTGACCATAGCTCGTGAAGATAAGCGCCAGATGTGGTTGCTAGGTTAAATCTTCATGAGTTATTCTTATTTTAACCAATCAGGGATGCTTAGGTGGTATTCTGAACACAAAAAACCTCATCATTACAATCGCACAGGGGTCTCGGAAGCTTTAAATATCATCAGCGGTAAAGAGGGTTGGAGAACATGGGTACACACAAAAGTTACACGGCCTTTACTCTTGTCGGATGGGATGCTAGCGTTGTTCGTATAGAAATCCGTATTCACTCTAACGATCTAACGATAATAAACGCAACGGTCAACAGCTCACCCGAAGAATAAGTTTGAGAATGACCAGATTTTCTATAAGTATGTCACGCCGCATGAATTTGTTATCAGCAAGAAGAGTTTGGTGGCTGACAATATGGCAATCTACTTTGCACCTCGAACTACTGGCGGCAATTTTTGGAAAAGACCTCGCTTTTAAATACACTATCCCATCCACAGATGAAACAAGTATGAAGTTAAGCGCAGAATGAACCGGAGGAAGAACGGTAAAAACAGGACTTTCCACTTGAACACCAGTGATGATAACTTCAGAATAAGGAAAGCCGATCACTCTGCTGTTTCGCATGGATATCGGACTGGTTCTCGTCATACAGAATGAAACACTAGAATGAGGCTCCAGTGTTCTTCTCCCGGGCATGGTACAGGTAAGACACCGCATGGAGTAGAGAACTCAGTAGAAAGAAAAATCACTACATGATTGTACAGTGACACCTGTTGAACTGTATTGGCCCAGTGCGTCTAGAGAACATCCAAGTATCGGCCTACTAGGTGGATATCCTAGGAAGGACAAAACACTTAATCATTTTGTCTCCAAACCACGCAATTACGCGATAGCGTTTATAAACCAAATCAAGATCAATAAACTAACGGATAGATGTCTTGCAGACCTACACCCACATGAGAGACGAATGTGGATCCATACCGTTGTAAAGCTTCAAGGTGTTCTGGGTAAATTGGAGACGCCATGCTCGCCTGCTTAACCTGAGCTGAATTGCTCGAACAGCGTGCTTAGAGTAGTGAATGATGGCAGATTTGAATATATGCTTACTCTGCTTTGTTATCGCCAAACTAGCCCCGCTGACCCCCACATAGCCATGCGACTATGCCACTGAGCAGATGAATGACTAAGTCATCTGCACAAATGATTTTAGTACACAGCCAAAACATTTTGGTGAATAGGAGCTAGTTATTGTTTTCAGGTGAGATGATACGCCTTGAATGCGCTTCGGGCTGCTGATGCGCAGATAGATTTATGGGTACCTGGAGGTACTGTTGATAAATCCGGTTAACTGAAGTTCTCCTATGTGCATGACAAGTCTGTTCGAACAACTGCTAGATACACTTCTTATCGAATAAATATGCACCATCTATTTTTTATGTCCTGATTTCGAACCATAGTTTAATGTGTCTACTGTGTGCATGATTTTCAACCTTAAACAGGAATCCAATCCTAAAAGCATGATGATTGTATGTTGAACCCAATAAATAGAGGCAATAGGATAAAGGGTGTGGCTCGGTGAATTTTACCTATTAAGTAAAAGCCAGTGCTTTGCAAGTAGTTTGTGAACGACTGAAATGCGTAAATTAGGGACTCATCTTGCACTGCGGTAAAAGAGCTTCGCAATCGGGTGCGTACATATGCAATTGATGATTATACAGAAGGATTATCTTTAGACACGGCGACTCCATCCATATGTCGGCATGGCCTGTCGCCTGATGGTGGGTTCGGCTACAATTAACAGTTAACAGTTACGATTACAATTAACAATCAGTTTGTTATTTATGCGTCAACATTGTTAACGCAAACAACGACAAAGACATCATCGTCATCACCAGCGAAGACAGCAATATTACAGATGACGCTGAAGTTTCACTTCATCAATGACAAAGTTGAACAAGACTGGTGAGAGTGGATAATCTCCTTGGACATCACGTTTGTAGGAAAGCTTTTGAAGAGCTGACTCTACGCTTTCACAGGTCCAGAAGTATGTAAATACTCTTCACAAAAAGTACGCCGGGGCGTACTGATTCCATACTTATGAAAATTTTCAGGTAGTATTTTGGTTTATGAAATTTCCAGTTCAGCATATTCTAGCGTACTGTGCACGAGAAAAATATATCTGTATTTCATGTGAAATAGGCGAACCATCGAATCAAAACTATTTTAGGTAGACGTAACAAATTTAACAAATCCCCAGCTAAATAGAGGTTAATGTTGTGCAATTTAGAGCGCGTCCCCCCCCAAGATGGGAATAAGTTATTACTCGAGCCTCCCCCCTGGAAAACGTTGCTCATCAGGAGATTTCATTAGGTTATTATGAAGTCACTCAGTAACTGATGCTAAGGAGATAAAGATGTTAAATTATGATATTTTCAATTACGCTGGTAAATTTTTACTCTACAAGGATGCTGGTATGTGTTGTAATTAGTCTTAAATATGTAATAAAACGTTTAGGCAGCATCGTCTGCTAGAACAGTCGTAAAAATCCCACAGATAATAGTATGGGATAAACCGACTACACGGTGAGCTCGCTAGCATGAAACAT